AAAATGTTATAAAAATGTTTTTTTTTATAAAAACATATTTATTATATATTAAAAACATTATTATCTTATTATAAAAACATATATAATTTTTTTAAGTTTTAGTAAAGTACAACTTTATTTAAAGCTAGAAGAGACCTTTACTTAGTAGAACCTTCTTCAATCTTTAAAGATTATTTAACCAATCATATTATTAATTGGGGTGAATCACTTATTTGACCTAAAGAGTATATAGAAAATAAAGAAAAAATTGAAGAACTTTAGCTCAAGATCTTTCTCCAACTATTTAACATATAAATTTGTAATTTTGTAAAAGAATTTAAAAAATGCTAAAGAATATAAATCTTATTTTTAAAATTATGTTTTATATTTACTTTCTTGAATAAATTAAAGTGTTTTTTTTGCCAAAATTTACATATAAATTGAGGTGAGTCATCTCATTTAACTTATAAGTAATTACAGTCTAGGAGAAATGTCCTGTGACTGTTAACAATAATATACTTATTGCTAAATCAGCGCGAATGAGAGAAAAAATAGAAAAAATATCTATATTGATTAAAAAATAACTTTATGCTTGTTAATTGATAATCCGTTTCCAAATGAGATAAACCATACATAGTAAATTGTAACGTGCAGATCTATATGATTTACTATATAAAATTGCTAAGCCACAAATGCTACTTTACGACAAAGTAAAGTTATTTCTACTAAGTAAATATATTTTCAATTTTTAAGTAAACTTGTAGAGCATCATTTTCTGATTCTAATAATAGTAAGATCATTAAAAGCTAATTATTAGATGCCAAGATATTGCAAGAAAATGATTTGCTAACTAATATAAACAGACTAGTGCTCCTAGGTCCAGTCTGGGTCTGGTCCAGTCCAAGTCTTGTCCGGGATCGAACCAGACTCAGACTCAAAATTTCACTAGTTTTGAACTTCAGACCAGACTTAAACTTAATTATAAGTTTGGTCCAACTAGTTCAAGTCTGAATTTATTGTACATGTATATATTTATTTTTGAACTTTGAACCGAGTGCTTGGACCCGTTATTATCTGGGTAACCTAGCGGTCCAATAAGCTATATCTTTTGTACTACTTTAGATAAATATTAACTTTGTGAAACAAGAGGAACTGTTGATGTTATATAACTAAACCTTCTCTGGTGTGTAGCATATAAAAAAATCAATTTACAATACCAAATCATTCTGCTAGTATATGTTATGATTATAATCCCATTTTTATTATAATAAAATGATATGAGATTATAATCTAGCGGAATGATCTGGTATATGAAGTTCAATCATATAACATTGATAGTTTCTCATGTTATTTTGTGACCTATTTATTAGCCAAGATAGGTGATTCAGCAGCGATAAATAATGTTGGTCTTTGTTACTACCATGGAATTGGAGTAGAAATAAATTTCCAAAAATCATTTGGACATTGTAAGAAATCTGCTGATTAGAGCAATGCCGCTGCAAAATATAATATTGGTAAGTTGGTCAAATTATAATAAAGCATTTGAATACTATAAAAAATCTGCTAATGAATCACCTAACATATCAGTTCAGAACTTAAGAAAATATTAGATGATGAGAGATTTAAATTAGCTTGGATTAATTATAATGAGTTTATACAGAATGGTTTAATAGAGTTAATATATGGAATAGTAATGCACTTAAAGTGATTCATAATTTAAACAAAAGTGAGCAAAAATTTATCCACAAATTAAAGAATTATTGTGAAATTGGTTATGAGAATCCATTATTCTTGGAATGCATTGGAGTATCAAGAAATAGTCATGGTGATAACATTATTAATGGAATATGCATTAAAAAAAAGAACGTTGCAACAAAATCTTGTACAAGTATTACAACTGGAATAGAAATATCTTGTACTGTATAGCTTCAATTTATTCACAAGAACCTGTTTACAGAGATTTACATAGTGGAAATATTACAAGTATTACAACTGGAATGGAAAGATAAATTGAATATCTTGTACTGTATAGCTTTGAATGTGGAGTTGATTCATTTGCAAGAACTTGTTTATAGAGATTTACACAGCAGAAATATTTTGCAAGATAATTTGCATAATATATATATTACAGACCTTGGAATTTTTAAAAATGTAAAAGGAAAAGCTTGTGAAATTCTGCCATATATAGCATCTAAGGTTTTAGTGGGACAACCATACACTCCAGCATAAGATATTTATAGCTTTGGAGTTATCACAACAGAGATTTCGACATGACAAAGAGCATTTAATGGAATTCCATTTAATGGTGATCTTGTGTTTAGGACCAGATTGTTATATTAAATTAGCCATGAAATGGATCAGGAAGATAATAATGAAATCAAAAAACAAATTCTGGAGGCTAATAAGATTAACTTGAATCGATCAAGCAAATACATCTACAAGTCTTATATACTAGCAAGATATATGATATGAAAAAAAATTTAAATATACCTGAGTTCAATGGTTCAACTACTAACTTGTCAATACTAAATATACATATAAATATATTTGGACTCAGACTAGTCTGCAGACTTCAGACTTGACTAAAAAGTCTGAATATAAAAGTCTGAGTCTGGTCTGAAAATCAGACCAGACTTAGACTTGACTAAAGTCTGGTTCAGGTCCAGTCCGTAGAAGCACTAAAACAGACTATTGTTTACATGAAATAGCATTTTTGGCTATAGTAAAACTTATAGTAAATTGTCACAATTTACTATATATGGGTATATATGATTGCCTTATTCAGAAATAGATTATCAATTAATTAAAATAATGAAACCAATGATATCATAAATATATCGATTAATAAATAATACTTATAGTCACTCTCTATATTAGCAGGCACAATAAATGATATTTTATAACAGTGAAATCCAAAAGCTTGAATATCTCATTTTAGCTACAAGTATAAAGTATAAGTTCAATAAAATTTAAAATCATAATTGACTATACAGAGCAAATTAAGTAAAAATTATATCTATTAAACTCTACTCGAGGCAATATGAGTGCTGCCAAGAAAAAACTAAGCTTGGAGCTTTCAAGTTTATAACCTAATGATTTGAATTGGCAAAATTAAGCAAAACTATCCCTTAAACCATATAACATACATATATGTATGCTAAAATTTTTAGTGGCCTATTTTTGCACAATTACTCCAAATTTTATTATGCCTCGACCCTATATTTCCTAAGCTAGAACAGAGGTATACTACATGCTAATTGTTATATATTTATTGTTTTGTGAAATTTTCTCAACAATATCCTAAAAATCATCTAGATAAGGCTGGTTGACATATATTCTTTACGGTCAAATTTAATATTAAAAAAAAAACTGCATATGACAATCATGGAAATTATTTATGATCATCACATGCAAATTTCTTTTATTACAAATATTTAAGTTGATCAAAGAACCTTTGCGACCAACTTTACAGAGATGATTTTTGTGATGATACTGGAGAGATAATATGACTCAAATATTCGGGCCAAATAGTGTATTTTACAGCCATTGTAAAAATTTATGCCCTTCGTTTGAATCATTTTGAGCATGCTACACTGCGGCAATGGAGTTTCCCATGTAACACAAGTCTTTGGGTGTCAATACAGCCAATTATGATAAAGATTTTCATAAATAATTTTTTTTTCTAGTTCAACTTTCATTTAACTATTTTAGCGTACATATTTGTACACTAAAATGTACGGTTTAAAGGATAACATACTACTGATCAGATTTTTCAGGGATCAAGCCAGTTAAGTTATAAGCTTGAAAGCTGAGATCTAGTTTTCTTATGGTGACACTTATAGAATTGTAATAGAGTATTAATTCAAGCAATGGCGATGAAAACTCAATATCATGCTATATTATTCAAAATCACTCGAGCTAAGTAACAGAGATTCTAGAATCCTCTGATCATTGATCCTATATTATAAATAGTGTGATCTACATCGTCCAAATATAGAAAATAGTGATACAAATCATCAAAAATTTTTTAATTGATTAGTTGGTTAGTTCAAAATTTTTAATTGATTAGTTGTCAACTAAATAATTATTCAATTTTTAATCAATTTTTAATTATAAGTTGGCAAAGATTTTTAAAATTTTTCAATCGATTAGTTGTCAACTAGACCAACTAATAGATTTTTCGATTTTTGATTTGTATCACTAATAGAAAAATACCAGACTAAATTAGAAAGAAGTTATAGAAACATGCAGATAAATACATATGTGAGACATATACTACTCTGTTAGGTTTATCTTGAGAATAAATTGCCATAAATAAGACCTGGGTCTCTTACATTCCACCAATTTTAAACCTATAATAGACCCAGTGTCTAGTATACAGCTAAGAGCTTATATCACTAAAAAGAAAACTTTGAAGAGCATACATGTTTGCATTTATAATAGGTAGTCCAGATATTTAAAAAAACTCAGATTTAATTAATATAGATTTTGTGATCTGCATCCTGGTATACTACCTGATGGGTCTACTATCTAGGGGGATCTTGTATCCAGCCATTTACAGTAGCTATAAATAGTTAGTAAGTTTTAAGATAAAAATTCATTCCAAATTATAGTTAGTAAGTCCTAAGGTAGAGTGTAAAATCCACAAGAGTAGATACCAAAATCCATGAATGTATAGTGAGGAATACCCTGGATTAGAGAGCTAGTAACAGTAGTTAGAACCAGAGGGTTTAAATGGATACCCTCACAGTTGGGATACAGGTATAGCAGATAGTGTAAAACTCCTAGCATAATACTAACACTTTGGGCAGACTACTTAAATTAGGCATCAAAAGTGCATGTGTAGCCTATACATGTTGGCAAAACTAAACCCAAATTCCAATTGGATAAACCCAAATTCCAAACTAGACAAAACCCAAACCCAAATCCTAAATCCCAAACCTATCACAAATTCCAAACTTATCACAAATTCCAAATCTATTCCAAACCCCAAATTCCAAACCCAAAACCCAAATCCTACTCAAATCACAAACACAAATTCCAAACACAAATCTCAAACATAAATCTTGTCTTTAAAATTTGGAGTTTCCTTTTTCTTTACTAAACAAACCTTTTTTCAACTTCTAAGTAAAGTTGTAGAAGAGTATCTTCGATCAGAATAGCAGTTAAAATATTAAAATTGGCCTAGTAAATTGTGAGATATAAGCATTTTAGTATTTGTAAATATATATTTTCTTCTTTATTTATATAAAGAAAATATATAATTGCAAAGATTAAAATATTTATATCTCATGATTCACTAGGCCAATTTTAACATTTTAACTGCTATTCTTATCACAAGACACTCCTCTACAACTTTACTTAGAAGTTGAAAAGAGGTTTGTTTAGTAAAGAAAAAAGTTTTTCTTTAGAAAACTCTAAATTCCAAAGACAAGATTTGGGTTTGGGATTTGAGTTTGGGATTTGGGTTTGGGTTTAGAATTTGGGTAGGATTTGGGTATGATTTGGGATTGGGATTGGGGTTTGGAATAGGTTTGGATTTGAAATTTGTTTGAGATTTGGGATTTGAGATTGGGATTTGTTTAGTTTTGCCATATGGGGTTGTTAAATATAGATAAACAACCTTATTTGTCTGAGTTTGTCCATAACCCAATCCCAAATCCTATAGGGTTCCAACAAGTATATATATAGCTTGATGTACTCTTATTGTAATTACATTATAAAACATTGTCTATACTTTAATAAAAAGTTCCCAGGCCAAAGAGATCACTTTAATACCAAAAAAAAAAAAAAAACAAAAAAAAAACAAATAGACAATAATAGAAAATAAACTTTGAATCAATAAGTCTTTTATACTTATTCAAATTACTTATTCAAATTGAATCACTATTAAATAAAATCAAATATCAGATTTTAATATATTAAATAATAAATATTTTAAATAAAAATAAATTAAAAGAGATAACTCTTCCTGACAATTATTTGGACCAAAATTTCCCACTGAAAAAAAACCAAACTCTTGTTGAAGAGATGTGGCCTAATGTAGCAG